CATTCCTGCAAATAAAATTGTTTTATACTGTAAGCTGGAGGCGAGTGTAACTTATTTTTGTAATAAAGTTTTTATTTTTTTTATGTGTCATTAATATAAATGTGTGTTAGTACAGAGATCTTCTGGTTAAAAACTTAGAATCGCACACATTTCAGTATGTTTACTTGTATTTACATAATTTTTAGAATAGTGGTTGCCAATAGCCTGTATGTTTCACATTAATTGATTTTTTTTTTTTTGTTTTGTTATCTTAATAAACCATTTTAGTATGTTGTATGTCAATTACTGGGATAGCTGGGACATGAAGTGTAATTTAAAATTGTCAAGTATTCATTGGAATATGTAAATGTGCCTTGCCAGTTTTGAACTTTAAGACAAAGTAAGTGAATGATGGTGAAATGAGTAGTCAATGCGTAAGAGACATTTGCTACCACAGTTTCGTATACTGCCCTTGCTAAAGAGAAGTAACTTTTTCCTCAAATTTGAGCATAAAAGTATACAGTTGCGTTAGCTTCTGAATTTTCAAATCTAGTGATAGGATATTAGGGTTCTGGAAAGTGGGTTTGCTAATTGTAGCCTTAAGTATAATTTTGAATTTCAATGTAATCCTTGGTGCTGGCATTCCCAGTGCCAAGGAGTTTAAATGCTCCCTTTGCAGAGGTTGCCATGCCTACTGGCACTTTTACTGTCATATGGTTTTATAAGGAACACTGTCAAGATGTGGAAATCAATTTTGAACTTACTATAAAATGAAAACACTGGGGGCTGAAGGAGAATGGGAAGTCCTCAGATCTTTTAATCTTGAAATCTCTCCATTGCTGAAAAACTTTAAAACACTTGTGGGATCACAAGTGCTAGTGACTAGTTCTTAGCCTGGAAATGAGTCGGGGAGGGGATGATATATTTGCGGAATTATAACAGTTGATGGAAGTGCGTAAAAACATTGCTATTAAGGCACTACATGTGTTGAAATTGTGGATCGTGTCCTTAATTTCAGCTCTCATAAAAGCGCAGGGAACTTGTTAAAAAATAAAAAGGCAAAATTGTCAGGAAAGTTTTTAATGGAATGCAAGCAATGGTGAGTGAACAAAATACCGTGATCTTGACAGTGTTCCCACTAATTATGAACTCAAGCCATTATAACTTTTAAAATTAAATATGATTTGCACTGTTCTGATATTGGTGCAGTTTTTTAGCAAAAAATAATCAGAAATCTAAATTGCATGTGGTGAATAATATAGTGGAAAAGAAAACAAAAAAATGTTATTTTCAAAGCTTTAAATTCGATTGTGTAATGAAAAAACATTCATTATTAAGTGGAAATAATGGTCAGAAATGGGCAAGTGAATATATACAACATCAGTTTGATTGCACTTGGGTGTTGGTAAACTTGAAATGTTCTATGGCAATCGTTCATCTCCTCTGGGGTGCTTCCATGACAAAGAACGTACAGTTCTTTTTGGCACGTTGAAGGCAAGTGTTAATGTATTGCGCTGCCTCTGTTTATTCTCCTAGGAGGCTGAAACACCTGAAGAGGTTTGAGTATAAGCTAGCAGAGTTCCACATTGGTTTGTAACGTGTTACTAAATTTGAAGTCTAATTGAACTTAATAAGAAATCAGAAACTGCTCTTGCTGCTTAACACTTCTGGTTTATAAACACTCCAATACACAGCTTTTTAAATTATACTCTTGTTTTAGTATTCGTTTTTGTTTGAAGGGTTTCATAAAGGACATACAACTGTATTTTTTTTTTTTTAATTTTTAAAGATGAGATTTGTTGTGACCCAGAACTTAAGTTTTTGTGGTTTTAGTGTTGGAGGAAGGCTGTTATTGTAGATACTAAGACCAGTCTCTGAATTTCTATGTTGTAGAACTTGCCTAAATACTGTTTTAAAATCTAAAATTAGGAGTACCAATTCTGTTCTTGTTGGGGGTGAAGGCTGTGAAATAGTCTAAAATAAACTTAGCCTCCTCTGAAGGTAGAATTCCCAACTTAAAATATCAGGACAGGAACTTTTTTTTTTTTTTTGGCTTTCCCTTGCACCGTTGATTATTCTGCAGACTTAACTTTTTCTGTTCAGCCTGGCAGCTATTTTGGTGCTTCAGTAAATCAGTAACGGTAGACTTTTAAAAATGAAAGGCAATGTGGACATAAAAACATGTAACTTTTCTGAAGAGTGGGTTCAGATTGATATATTCCACAAAATTTAGACTGTTATTCACTATATGCATTAGTGAAAACTCGGTTTAAAAATGTTACTTGTTTAAAATGGAATAGCAAGTTTTGGAAGTAGGTGATAAGGCAGTAATCTTTACGGTGTAGCATTCTAAGAATTGCAGTCGGTAAAGTTGAAGCTTGAGTTTGAGCCTGAAGCTTATGAATCCCAGCCTTATGACTGGCTACGATGGACTTATAAGTCTCTCTTTGTTGAGTGTCTTGCTGAATTATCTCCAGTACCAGCACATGAAACCTCTTGGCTGGCATTAGCTGGTTGCATTAGTTGGCCAGAGGAAACACCAGATTATACTTTGTCATTTGCTATGTCAAATCAAAATGGTATGTGGCAACAGGAAAGGAAGTCGAGCTGAAGATTCCTTGATCCTTAATACCCACTAGTGGGGGATAGATTATTAATTATTATTTTACAGCCTTCTAGTGCAAACAAATATAAAGCTTCCTAAAAGCTCTGGTAAACTTTTTTCTGGACCGATTTTCACATAGTCATCCAGTTAGTGCTTTGCAAGTGTTTAATTATACTTGTGTTATAAAATTCACAGGGTGAAAGAGTAACTTTTCTTCAGTGCTCTTTTGCCTTGACTCTTTGAATAGATAGATTTGCTGAAAAGTGTCACTAGGGACTAGGTTGTTAGTTTACTTGGAATTTGGAGAGAGGGATAATTATCTTGTAATGATACCTTTTGCTTGCCAGTATATAACTGGTTGCTAGTTCTTTCCACAAACATATGTACTTTTAAATGGCCAGCTCTCCAAGTGGATTTTGCACAGCTGAGCTCATGTGGAAACATTGGTTTACATTGATTATTTAAGCTATCTTCCTGAAAGCTTTTTAGAGGTACGTGTTGAGAGCTTTTTTCTTTTTTTCTTTTCCTAAAGAAAAAGGATTTGTTACAGTCTAGAAAACACAGTCACAGTATGTAGCTAATAGTAATTAAATACAGTTTGAATATTTAAAGTTTGAATCACAAGATACTTTTCAGTTCCAAGTGTTGTTTCATTCCTAAATGTTCATGAAACTTAAGTGGTGACTTTGGAGTAGGCAGTATTTTCTGACAGTTACTCAGGTAAAACTTGCAGTGTCAGAAATCTGGATTCCTTCTAGTCTGATAAATTTGGTTTATTAACTGTGATAGTTCTCTCCCTCTGCACAGTTAGCATAACTGTACAGTTTTGCTTGTTTTGGTCAATACCATGTAGAAAAGACATTGAATCTTACCGCTAATTTTCTTTGCACTGAGAAAGTTACGAAATGCATTCTTATTTCTGCTACACAGCCAGTAGAATAACCTATGCCAGCTGACTGTACAGAAGATAATGGTAAGTAAAAGTAGACATTCTAGTACTTAAATAACTTGCAGTACCTAAAATCCAGTTGACTCATCTGCAGTTACTAGGAAGGTTGTGGGTTTCAACTCACTTCAGTGCGAAGTGAATTGATGTTGAGTGTAATCTGTTTAATGTTAAATACTTGCCTCTAAAAATCTCTGAAATACTTCACAGATAATTCAATATGTATTTTTAGACTGATGGGTTAGCAATCATAGTAGTTTAAGGGATTTTCTGTGAACACAGTCATTGAAAGCCTGAATATATTGGATCCTGATTTCCTAGTTCCAAGTGTACTATTTTCAGTATTCTGCTATCTGAAGTAACATTTTTCAGATTTATTTCTTTCTCTTTAGTGAGGTGAAGAATGCACCTAATTCTGTCACTGGTAGTGATTACTGAAAATCTGTATGACTAAACATAGCTAATTTGCTTCCTCTGTGAGAATTCAACAACAGCTATTTTGTAGATACCGCATTAATAAATCAGGGCTTTTCTTCAGGTGCAATTTCAATGTATTTAAGAATGAAGCTCTGTATTACAAATTGCTGGTGAGAGCTAGCTTAAATTAATCTTTTCATAATGCAGATGTATCATGATTGAAAGGTGATTTTAATCTTACAACATTTGAGGTGACAGATAAAAATACATAATCCCTGCATCTGAAAAACCTGAAGTAGCTGTTAAAGGACTTCCTGTTTCAGACTGTGGTCAAAAGCTTCTTTTGTGTAGTGCAGAAAAACCTTATTTATTCCAGTGCATGCCGTTGTGCTGACAAGCTAACCTGTTTCCAGTCCACAGTCCTTGACAAAATTTTTGAGTTTTGTATGTGTGCTTAAATTGGTATTTTTTGCCAAAGACAAACCTCCATTGATAATAACTGATGTATATTTGAGTAGTACTTTCACCAAGAAGTGACCAGTATATAAGTTTGACTTAAACTAGTCCAGTAAAACTATCCTTTATCCATATATCATACTTCTACAGAAGTACATTAGTTGCTTTTGAATTAATAGGATGCTTAAAAGCTCCTTAGAAAAAAACAATGGCATGTATGTTGTTGAAATCTGTAATAATTTACAAATGAAGAAATATGCTGCAGGTTTCATGCTAATACACAACTAGTCTGAAATATAAAGGGGGGAAAAA